TGAGGGGGGTAATAGTGAGGGGGTAATAGTGAGAGGGGGTGATGGTGAGGGGGGTGATGCTGAGGGTGGTGAGGGGGTAATAGTGAGGGGGCAATAGTGAGGGGGTGATGGGGGTAATAGTGAGGGGGGTAATGCCGAGGGTGGTGAGGGGGGGTAATAGTGAGAGGGGGTGATGGTGAGGATGGTGAGCAGGGCCGGACTGGCCCACCAGGATATAGGGAAATTTCCCGGTGGGCCGTCGGCACCTGGGGTCGGGCAGGAAGCTGGCTCACCTGCGGCCGCAGAGGGAGCTCTTCTGGCGGCCGCAGGGGGAGCTGGCTGTTCTGTCTCTGCTCCCCCTCCCCAGCGCACTACAAAGAGACCAGGGCCGGAATATGAAGTCATATTCCGGCCCCGGTCTCATTAAGCGGCACGCTGGGGATGGGGAGCAGAGAAGAGCTCCCTCTGCGGCCGCCAGAAGACTCAGCTCCCCCATGCGGCTGCCAGCACAAAGGTAGAAATTATGTGTGTCAGTGTGAGTGTATGTGTGTCTGTGTCATGGTGTGTGTGTGTGTGTCTGTGTCATGTGTGTGTGTCTGTCTGTGTCATTGTGTGTTTGTGTGTGTCTCTGTCTGTCATGGTGTGTGTGTCTGTGTCATGGTGTGTGTGTCTGTCTGTGTCATTGTGTGTGTCTGTCTGTGTCATTGTGTGTGTCTCTGTCTGTCATGGTGTGTGTGTCTGTCTGTGACATGGTGTGTGTGTCTGTCTGTGTCATTGTGTGTGTCTGTCTGTGTCATTGTGTGTATGTGTGTCTGTCATGGTGTGTCTCTCTGTGTCATGGTGTGTGTGTGTCTGTCTGTGTCATGGTGTGTGTGTGTGTGTGTCTCTGTCCGTCATGGTGTGTGTCTGTGTCATGCAATGTGTGTCTGTGTCATTGTGTGTGTATGTGTCTGTCATGTAATGTGTGTCTGTCTGCGTCATGGTCTGTCTGTGTCATGGTGTGTGTGTGTTTGTCATGGTGTGTGTGTGTGTCTGTGTCACGGTCTCTCTGTGTCGTGGTGTCTGTGTGTCATGGTGTGTGTGTCTGTCTGTGTCATGTAATGTGTGTCTGTGTCACAGTGTGTGTTTGTGTCACAGTCTGTCTGTGTTATGGTGTGTTTCTGTCATGGTATGTGTGTGTGTCTGTCATGGTATGTGTGTGTCTCTGTCATGGTGTGTGTCTGTCTTTGTCATGGTGTGTCTGTGTTTCTGTCTGTGTCACGGTGTGTGTGTGTCTGTGTCACGGTCTGTCTGTGTCATGGTGTGTGTCTGTCATGGTATGTGTGTTTTTACTCACCTTTTCCCCTCCCACATCGTGCTGGTCTCCCCTCAACTGGCCCTGCCTCTATGGCTGAAATCATCAAGCTTCCTGCCTTTTAACATTCACAGCGCAACCTACTGGCCGGCGCCGGTATTGCAATGTATTCTCACACAAACCAAAAATAGCAGCACAAGCTGAAAAATCCAGGGGGGGGGCAAGTGCCCCCTCTTGCCCCCCCTGCGGACGCCCATGGGCTTGTGTGCTGTATGTGGGAGTGTCGGACATTGTTGTATTGTTCTGAATGGTTTGTGTGCCTGTGTTCCATAAGGCCCAAGGGGTGTGCCTCTGGCCTGAGGAATTGTATAAATTGTGAGGGCCGCCACCAGAAATTTTGGGGCTCCTAACTCAGCTCAGGGTCTGGGCCCCCTGGGGCTCGTCTCCAATCCCGCCCACAGGGTCCGCCTCTAAATCCCACCAACAGGAATACACACACACACAGACACAAAAACACACACTGATACAAAAGGACACAGATACACAAACACACACACACAGATACATACTAACAGACACACATACTGAAACAGACATATATGCATATAGGCTTACATACTGACACACACATACTGAGACATACACACAAATACAGACACACAGGCATACATAGTGAAAGGTAGACACATACTAACATACATACAGACACACATGCATGAGGACATACACATACATACACACAGGCATACATAATATATACATACATACAGACATACTGACAGACATACATTCATACAGACAGACATACAGACACTGACATCCATACACACATACATACATACACAGACATACATTCATAATGGCATACATTCATACTGGCATACATGCATATATACAGACATACTGACACACAGACATACATACATTCGTTCATAATGACATGCAGACATACATTCATACTGACATACATGCATATATACAGACATACATTCATAATGACATACATACATATATACATACATACATAATGACAGGGGTCCTCAAACTTTTTAAACAGAGGGACAGTTCACGGTCCCTCAGACACTGTTGGGGGCCGGACAATAAATAATATGAACAAATTCCTATGCACACTGCACACACACGCATAAGGACCTAAATACACACACACACACATATACTGACATACATACATATGTAAACAGACAGACATATACATACATATTGAAATACATACAGATACATACACAGACAGACATGTATACATACACATACTGACTTACACAGACAGACAGACATACATACTGACACATACATACACACATACATACTGACATACATACATACATACTGACACACATACATGCTGACATACATACTGACAGACACACAGACACACATACATACATACACACATAGTGACACACATACATACAGACATACATACATACATACATACTGACATACATACATACTGACACACATACATACTAACACACATACATACATACATACATATTGACATACTGACACACATACATACACACATACTAACATACATACGTACTGACACACATACATAGATACATAGATACATACTGACATACACACATACATACACACACATACATACTGACATACATACAGACATACTGACATACATACATAGATACACATGAACATACATGAACACGAACATGCAGGTGGAAGGCTGTGGCTGATGGGAGTCGGCATGGCTCCCGTGGCCTGGCTTTCTTCCCTCTCGTGCGGCGCATCGCTGGAAGTGGAGTCTGCAGTGCTTATGGTGTCTGGTGGAGTGCTTGGAGTCCCCGGGAAGCACTAGGAGCATCGATTGGTGGAGGTACTTGGTCGGAGTGTCAGCAGTCCGTCACACCTCTCAAGGATTTTACACCATAACCACTCAATTAGTAGGGTCAGTAACCTCATAGACGTATTGCTTGTATTACAGAATGTTATTCGTCTAAAGTTTATTTGTTTATGCATTCATTTATTATTTTACTATCACATCAATCTATCAGAATATATGTCCATTTTCCCGTCTGTTGGCATACATAAGGATATGCCTTTTTGTTGTAACAAATGACTGGATAAAGGTAATTTCTATAACTAAAACCCATTTTGTGAACTCATCATATTAAATTCTATGTGACTATGTAAGTCATTCCTAACATGTAATGATAATTTAGTAATGCTAATGTTAATTAAAGATATTCATGTTAATGATGAATCATCATCTTCTTGTCTTTGAAACTGCTTATGTTATAAATACTGGGAGCTGCCAGTACAGTCATTACGTAAATGCAAGTACCAAATTGCTAAACTCAGAATTTTGATTTTTTTTGTTCATTTTCTGACATGTTTGGTTTTGGCTGTACTTGTGAGTTCTCAAATGCCTTATTTATCAGATGTAAGTGCACAAAGTGCAATTTCAAATCACCTCCTAACCATCTTATTTCCGAAATTGCTCACATACACCCTACATATTCTCTATGATGCCATCAATTTAATTTTCAATTTCAATTTAATTTTGTCTCAGTCATTTTGTCTCAGTCATCACATTCTCATTTAGTTTATTAGCTCATGGTATATCTTTCTTAGTACTTTTTATGAAAGTGTTACGAATGCTTGACTACAAGTTCATGGATAGCACACTCTACATTTGTATCTTTTACTTATTAGTACCTGCTATATTAACACAATGAAATACATCTAGAGAGATTATAGCAACAAAGTAGAGGTTAATAAAATAATAAAAAATAATTTCTCAACTTTTGCGGTTTAAGTCTATTTTAAATGTGTGTGTGTGTGCGCGTGCACGCGTTGGCACTCTCCTGTCTCTAATGGTGCTTAAAAAATTGCCTCCAATATATACCAAACATTGTAAAATTTTAACAAGTATTTAATATCTGAATATCCAAAATCTGCAAATTAGCAAGAGTAAATTATATCCTAGTATATTTGTAATTGGGATATAACTCATATACTTCCCTACACAGAACACACACACAAAAAAAGTCAGTTATAGCTTGCAAGTACATAAACCCTGTTCCAAATGATTATGCAAATTCTATTTAAGTGTCACAAAGATTAAATATTTTGTTTTTCAGTTTAACTCATGGATGTCATTGTGTCTCAGGACTCTTTTGACCACTGAAAACAATCTCGGACACCTGTGATAATTAGATTGCAAGGTGAGCCCAATTTTAGGAAAAACTACTAAAGGAGGGTGTTCCACATTATTAAGCAGAGCACCATTTTCATGCAATATGGGGAAGAAAAAGGATCTCTCTGCTGCCGAAAAGAGTGAAATAGTTCAATGCCTTGGACGAGGTATGAAAACATTAGATATTTCACGAAAACTTAAGCATGATCATCGCACTATTAAGAGATTTGTGGCTGATTCAGAGCACAGACGGGTTTGTGCAGATAAAGGCACATTGAGGAAGATTTCTGCCAGATCCATGCATCGGATCAAGAGAGCAGCTGCTAAAATACCATTACATAGCAGCAAACAGATATTTGAAGCTGCTGGTGCCTCTGGAATCCCACGGACTCCAGCTTATAATTGTAAACATTCTTATTTTCTGGGTGCTAATTTGCTAAATAGTAAATTTGGGGCGTGCTCTTCATATCTGAGAGTCAAATAGAAGCGTCAAATACTGCGCTTACAGCAGTGGCGGATCCGGGGGGGCAATTGCCCCCCCCCCCGAGATCTGATGCTCTCTCCTGCAGGGCCGGTGCTATCCAAGCGCTATCGAAGATCATAGATCTCCCTCACCAGTCCGCAGGCACATTGCTGGGCGGCCAGCAGGGAGGGAGGAGGGAAAGGAAACCAGGCTGAGCTCCTCCAGGTCTCCTCTCACGAGCACGGAGCGTTGCCGTGGTTACCATGGCAATGCTCCGTTCTTGCGAGAGTGAACTCTAGCCCAGGAGGTGCAGGCTAGAGTTCACTCCCCACTAGAACCACCAGGGATGTGAAATAATATCCCCCCCCTCCCAGGCAAAGGTAACAATGGAGGGGGGATATAAATAATATAAAATAGTATATTTTTAATTTTTAAAAAACAAACATTTGTTTTGCTCTGCCCCCTCCAACTACACACACTTCCCCCACAGCCCCCCATACACACAGACTTATACTGCACCCCACATACACACTGCACCCCACACACACACTGCACCCCACACACACACCCTTCTCCTCCATACACACTGCACCCCACACACAAACTGCACCCCCACACACAAACTGCACCCCCACACACACACTGCACCCTCTCACACACTGCACCCCCCACACACACTTCTCCTCAAACACACTGCACCCCACACACACACACTGCACCCCACACTCTTCTCCTCCATACACACGTGCACCCCCCACACACACACTCTCCCTCCATACACACTGCACCCCCACACACACCACCCCACACACACACTGCACCCACACTCTTCTCCTCCATACACACTGCACCCTCACACACTCTTCTCCTCCATGCCACTGCACCCCACACACACACTCTTCTCCTCCATACACACTGCACCCCACACACACACTGCACCCCCACACACTTCTCCTCCATAAACACTGCACCCCACACACACACTGCTCCCACACACACACACCTTTTCCTCCATACACACTGCACCCCCGCACACACACTTCTCCTCCATACACACTGCACCCCCATACAAACACTGCACCCCCACATGCTTCTCCCCCCACACACACACT